AACGATTTTACATGAAGGCACCCCGTACAATGATGCTATTATTGAAATAGCAGCATCCTGCGACAAGCCTGAGATGGCGCATCGTCGCCTATGACTATCCATCGTTGTCGTATAGGAAAACTAGGGAATTAGGGTTTACATGTCAATAATGTAGAGGAAAAGGGGTTAAATTAGGGTTCGGTGATTGATTCGGGGTGAGGGTCTTTAATGCAATTTATGAAATTGCAAGACCCTGCTTGGCAATTTTACCCTTGCTTCAAATTAGGGTTTTGTGAACAATATCTTGAGTGTGACCAATTTTTTGCGAATTGTGACCATTTGTGACATTTTATCTGTGAACCATTTTTTTGTGATCAAGTTTGTGTTTTTGTGACTTCACTTTGAATGTTTATGTGATGTATTCAGTGTGACGTGTGATTATTTGATTGTCACCTATTGTTGTGCAACTTATATTGAACAAATTCCTATTTCATAGATTACAACCTATTTTTCATCTACAAATTACAATTTTTATAAGTTATACAAATTCCTAATTCTTATGGTATGTAATTTTTTTAAAATTTTAATTTTAATTTTAATTTATCACATGATTTGTGAACTTAAAACTATACCACCTCACTTTTGAATAGTATACCTGAGATATAGGGTTTTAAGTAATTTTCTCATTAGTCAAATATGATAGCCGAATAAGCTCGAACTAAATCACCCGAAATCACGCCAAAAATTGAATTTAAATATGTTGACTATGTGTTACGCTAGTGAGAATCTAAGAAAACTTTCATGACATGAATACTAGAATACCAATGGCCAAGTTGTTACAAAAGTTTTAGATTAGATTCTAATATTTTCAAAGACATGGTTGTACTTAGAATACACGTGGCTTGTTTATAAATTGTATATAAATACTTAGTTCCTGTTTTATAGAGATTGAAATCAGATTTTTAATAAATTTTTATAAAAGTTGATGAAATATATTGTTGAAAATTTTCGTATCCTATAAAATATACGATTAAAATGAGTTATTGACTTTGACTTTAAACTCTACCTAACAAAGAATTTATTTTTTTATTTATATATTTTAAAAATTCACAAGTATTATTTAATTATTTGCTACTTATTTTTATTTAAATCAATTATAAATATTTTTCAAACATGCTTTAAGTTTTAAATCTAATGAAACAAAACTTGCATGTGGGAGGGAACTGTTGGCGGCCTAATCTATGGAAGAACAAAAATCAGCAGGCATTTGGCGGCAATATTTTTAACAAAATGAAAAAGGAATAATTATTTAATAATTTCCTCCCAATTTTCACAGTGAAAACCAATTCTAGATAGTATTCAGCGCCCGTTTGACAGCAATTTTCATTTAATTATAAGAAAAATCCGGTCTTTATATACAATATTTGGTCCTAATTAATTTTCATTTCATTACATTACATTTTTCTCTCTTTTATTTTCAATCACACAATATTTCATAAAATAATATTATACGTAAATCAAAAAAATTTCCTTTCTTTTAAATCACTTATTTTTTTTTTAAAAATATATTATTTTGCCTATTAATTTTTCCACAGGTCAAAGGAGACATAAATGAGCCCAACGTTGTACTAGCCATTTTAGACTACATTTATCCTGTCAATTAAAAATTTTAATGAAAAGATCCTGGTGTAACTTTTGACACTCAACATCGTTAGCAAAATATTTTTGACATTCCAATTCATAATGAAAGACAGCTGTCAGTTTTTGTCAAATATTTTTTGGCCTTTCTTTCTAGACGTGGGGCCTATTGATTATGCCCCGTTTGATACCCATTTCTTTTAAAATGTATTTTTCTCTCTTCTTTTTAATCACATTTTTATTAAAATAATATTATACGTAAATAAAAAAATTTCCTTATTTTTCAACCACATATTTTTCATCAATTTACTATTTAAAAATATATTTTTTCATAAAAATAGCTCCCAAACACTCCATATATATATATATAACAATCAGATTTTTCATTATAGTTGTGGGGAATTGCTGTCAAACAGGCACTTAACACTATTTGATAGTCGTTATAATGGGAAATTAAAAAAAAATTGATATTTTGAATAGTAATTTTTTTTGAAAATATGCAGTTAAAAAATTAAAAATAGATTTAAGTACAAAATATTTTTATGAAATAATGTTACTTATACATAATGAAGTTATATAACATTTTACATATAGGTGAGATGTCATAAAAGGAGTGAGAATTTATTTTTATTTTTTATTGAAAAAATTCGAATTCAATCATATTTTATGCTGCAGTATTTGTTCCGCTCTCACTACTTTATGCGTGTAGTGCTGTAATCCACTCTTTATTCAATAAAAGATTTATAATCCTATTAATGATGTTTAATCAAAAGCGCTATTGGTTCCACTCTCACTACTTTATGCGGGTAGTGCTGTAATCCACTCTTTATTCGATAAATGATTTATAATCATATGTAGCGGGATTAAAAATTAAATTTTTAGTAAACCCATAATAGAAATTGATGAAATATGTGATTGAAAAATTGTGGATCTTATAAAATGTGTAGTAAAAATTAATTGTTAATTTTGATTTGGATTTGGATTAAAATCTTGATTTTAATATTCACCAAACACGGGCTAAATTCTAATAAAAGCTTGAAAAGTTGTGTATTCTGTGAAATATACGAGCCGATGGCTAGGGTTGAGCCCCATTTTGGAAGGACGGGCCAAGCCCAAGTTGGCCGCTCATGGGCCTTTAAAAAGAAAAATAAGATAGCACTCGGTTGCATTTTAAAGGGTAGATTTTTTTTATTTATTTTTTAAATCTATCTTGCTCTGCTCGGCTCGGCTCAGAAAAGTCCAAGCTGAAAACTCAGATCAAGCTTAAATTTTTTGGTCGGGCAAAAGTTCGACTCTGCTCAAGCTTCGAATTTTGGTTCGACTCGTTAACATCCCTAAGAATTTTATATTTTTCTTCAAGAGAACGTTTGGCTACTTGAAAAGCAAGTCAAATAATTTTCAAGTGGGTTCTTATTTCTGTAATTAAATTAATTTTTTGCTAAATTAGCTCATTTATCTTTGCAGTTCAAACTTTTAGCAATGTAATTTAACAAGAAACTAGAACTATGGGTCCGTTTGATTGTAAAGATGGAATTAAATCGAATTGAAAACGAATTCTAGGAAATTAAATTGCCTGGAAATTGTTTTTCTGGGAATTGTAAATTATTGTATTTGATTTGTATAAATTTCCACGTGGAAAATGTAGAAATAAAAGTGTTTTTTTATATTCGTTTGACTTTATTTTACATGAAAATTGTCAATTAAAGGGATATAATTGCTGTGTTGGAGATGAAATTTGTTTCCATTGCTAAAAAAAAGGACCAAAAAAAAACAAAAAATTCAAGAAAATTATCTATCTTTTAGTGTTTGTTTGACTTTGTTTTATATGAAAATTGTCAATTAAAGGGAAATATTTTTTTACAATAATTCTAGAATTTGTTAACTTTGCCAACAAAAAAAAAAAAGGAAAACAATACATATATGCTACAATAACAGGAAAAATTAATTCCCACCTGATTTTCTCTAAAAAGCTAGAAAAGTCTAAAGTCCAAGAAAACATGGAACTTGAGCCCCTGTTTGGCCTCCATTACGGGGAAAATTTAATGTATAGAATAGTGTTTTTTGAAAAATGAGTGGTTGAAAAAGAAAGAAAATTTTTCGATTTACGTGTAATATTATTTTATGAAAGATTGTGTGGTTGAAAATAGGAGAGAGAAAAATAGAATGTAATGTAATGTAATGTAATGAAAATCAAACAAGGGCTGAATTCCATGGCAAAAAAAACCATATCAAACACTTGAAAGTGGGAAAATGGTTTATAGAAAAGATTTGACAATTAAACATGGCCAGAATTACTTGAATTCAATATATACAACTATCTAAATATAGTTTACTATAAATGGTAATAATATTTAGCACCACTGATATTAAAATACCAGTTTATGTGGCACTAATGTTACATTAAAGACCCGTTTGTTTCCCATTTTCATAAGAATGAGAATGAAAAATATAGTCGTTATGGGCCCCACACAAGAAATATGAATTTAAATTTGGTGACTTGATATGATGGATAACGGTCATATTTTTCATTTTAATGTGAAAAATAATAGGAAACAAACAGGGGCTAAATGAGAAGTATAATTAAGTGAATCACTTAATTTTATTTTTTATTTAGCATATCACTTAGGGTTCGTTTGATTGCAAAGTTGGAATTTGGGTGGAAAGAAAATGAATTTCAAGGAATTCAATTGATAGGAAATTGTTTTCCTGGGATTTGTAAATCATTGTGTTTAATTAGTATTGTTGGCATCACAAATTGGACCCTCCACGTGGTCAATCGATAGCTATTCCACGTATTCCTCCCCGCGCACAGTCAACGCACGGTCAGATGCACACGGCCGGAACCAGCAAGGGTAGTGGCGGCCGCATACACTCCGACAGTTAAGTTAACCTCAGATGATCGGAACAATACCAAGGTTGTGCAAGACAGTGGGAGGAGGATATATATTTGCTTATTATGGAAAGCTATGTTTTAAGATTTTCATTATTTTTGCCTCTTGTCAATCCTTGGGTATTTATAAGTGAGGAGAACCATTGGATGTGGGACATAAGGATGTCAATTTGAACCGACAAAATTGAAAATCGCGGTTAACCGAACCGAATGGGGCGAAAAAAATCGAACCGATGGTGCAATGGGGCGGATATGGTTTTTATTTTTATGAACCGGTTCGTGACGGTGCTGGTATGGTATTTACGCTGTCAAACCGAAACCGAACCGATTACCTGCTTAAAAAAAAAAAAAATTACACTATTTTTCTATCTAGCCCAAAACAAAATCCCCCCATTACATCTACATGACTCAACCGGCCAACCAACTTACCATTAGCCCATAATAATAGCATTAATATGACAGTATATAAATGCAAACCCTACTCTTCACAAACCCTATTTAATATGCCTTGTTATCAATAAATATGAATTACTTCCATTTAAATTATTATTTAGTATATGGATACATTAGGACAAATTTTAGAAAAAAATTCAAA